AGCTAGTAAGTGTCAAGTGTCTGAGGCCACATTTGAACTCAGGTCCTCCTGACTCCAAGGCCGGAGCTTTATCCACTAAGCCACCTAGCTGCCCCCAGAACTGACTTTTAAAAGGTAGTAAGAAGACAAGATTCCACTGTGCTTACTGCTGGCGGACATTCAATTCAGTAGAGCAAAAAGTCAACTTACAGGCTGTCTTCCAACAAGAGGTTCCCATGAATATTTTAGACAATATGTAAAGTGCTATGTTACCCTTAAAATGCTACATAAATGTTAGGTATTATTCCTACCTTTTAAAGTCACACAAAATTCCTTGAAAGGTATAATAACAAAGATAACATTATTTGATGACTCTCTAATAAATAAAAAGCAAGGCAATAGACAGGCAACCATATGCTCGCCATTGGAGCATGTCCAAATGCAGAGTCCAAATAGAAAAGGTATTCCCTATAGCTGTAAAGGTCCTCCAGATGCTATTATTTGTGAATAATATTGTGCTGACTATATTAAGACCTAGAACATTTTGCATAGCTTCATAAATTAGATCTGGAGCTTGATACAATCAGTATAATGTCATGTGCAAAAGGACTATCTGAAGGAACTCACCATTTAGATGGAATCCTTCTTAAGAATGGACCCTGCATTGGACACCCTCCATGAGACTGCCAAGCACCTTCAGCAAGCATGTATCTCCCTGTTTATGTCTGATTTTCTATCAATAATCAGAAGATTACAGAAAGTCATCTCTGTATAGAGAATCAAGCCATTTTTTTTTTACCTTACATTACATTAGGAAGAAACCTGGTTAGAATAAAGTCTTTCAGGCTATACTTTGCTTTACTACATATTAACAATGATCACAGTAGTATCTTGCAATCTTACCTTTTAGTCGATTATGAGATTAAAGATCATTTGTGAAAGCCTGGAAGTTCCTTTCTCATACATAAAGGAATATGGGAGAGTACTTGGAAGTCACAGATGAGGAAACTGAGGCCAGCTGAAATGCCCTCAATGCAGGTTTTTCTCCAAAATTTTGTAGTGTTGGGAAGGTAGACATATGGGTTGGTTGCTAATATTTTTTTCAACTGCCTGTTTACTATAGTAATAATAACATCTGTAATTTTTCCAAGCTTTTAACATTCTACCTTTTTTTCAGTTATCTTGAAAACTGATACTGTGACAATGCTTAAAATTTCATGGTCTCAAAGCCAATTTCCTTTGTCCATGTATACCTGGCCCTGGTTTGCCTGCTCTTCCTATCTTTGGTATAAATATAAATATATATGTATATGTATATGTATTATATATATGTATATATGTGTGTGTGTATATACATATATATACATACACACACACACACACACACACACACACACACATACACACATATATGTATATGTGCTTTTTGGTGAGGCAATCAGGGTTAAGTGACTTGCCCAGGGTTACACTGCTAAGAAGTATCAAGTGTCTGAACTGAAATTTCAACTCAGGTCCTCCAGACTCTAAGGCTGGTGCTCTATTCACTGCACCACCTAATCACCTCTGGTTTATTTTTTTTTAAATATCATTTCTGCATATTCATGTAACAAATCAAGGACCATGATAGTAGAGTTCAAATGTGGTGAGCTCCACTGTCAATGAAGGAGAAAAGACTTTGTAACAGAAATCTTGAGAACTTTTCTACTTTTTGTTTGTTGTCCCAGCGTGACCTTTACATGCTCTTAGGATAATCTGGCTTAACTAGGTCTCTCACCAAGCTTTCAATAAAATTACTTTTTCTTTTACTGCTTCTCTTTTATGAAATGATAATGTTCATAGTGCAGTAAGTAGACAGTTCAAAAACTTTACTGGTATCCTCATGATATTAGGAGAAACTGAGGAAGGCCTCCAGAATACTGATTGGATTCCCTGTGTCTACTTTAGGGGAAGACAAGAGTCACACAGGTTGGGCAGGCATGAAGAGGTTGCTATTTGCCTTGCTGAAAGAAATGTTCCTATCAAAGAGATTATAGATCCATTTGACTGGACGAATGATCCCCAAATTCTTCCACCATTCTTCTCTAAGACTGTAAAAATGAGCGAATATTCCAGATTAGTATTAATTTTGGCTTCCACCTCTTTCTTTGAAAAGGATATCAAGTTTTTGCCAAGTAATGCATTTTCTACGAATGTTTGGCTCCATAGTTGTTATTACTATACATTGATTAGATTTCCTTAAACAATGTTGAAAGTCTGTGTCAATTTCCATTGTTTGCGTATTTCCCATTTTTAGATGTCAATAGTTTTTTTCAGATTATTTACTTTTAGTTTTCAACATTCACTTTTATAAGACTTTGAGTTCCAAATTTTTCCCCCTCCCCAAAACAGCATGCAATCTGACATAGGCTATACATGTACAATCATATTAAACATATTTCCACATTAGTCATGTTGTGAAAGAAGAATCAGAACAAAAGGGAAAAACCATGAGAAAGAAAACACAAAGAGAAAATAGTGTGCTTCGATCTGCATTCAGATTCCATAGTTCTTTCTCTGGATGTGGGTAGCATTTTGCTAGAGGTCAATAGTTTAAAAAGGCTTAGCTGGAGCAGTTTTAATTGTCCAACAAAGATTCTTATTTTTATCCTTTTTTCTGGTTTGATTTTGATTTTAAAGGTTTGAACAGCTGAATTAGAAATGACTCATATGTCACTGTGCAGTGGGAGGCGCACTAGATTTGGAATCAGAGAACAGAGTTTCGATTCCTGTCATTTATGACATATGTGAACTTGGGTTCATTTATTTAATGCCTCTGGGCCTCACTGTCCTCATCTGTGAAGTAGGAAGGCTAGACAGATGACACATCTATGATCCTTGATTTGTAGCCAGTTGTTTCCTATCCATTAAGATAGTTCCATATTTTATGATGTTATTCATGACTTGGCAAACAAAGGTATGTTTTCATGATAAAAAAAAAAGTGAGATTTCTACAAAGTTTATGAGCCTTGGGCTTCCAGTGTCTTATTCCAAGTTTCCAAGATTTTTCACTCTTTCCCTAAGCTCACTTCTATACTCAAGTCACTACGTGCTAAAGTATATTAATTTAGAGGTCTTAGGAGTTACTGATATAATTTGTCCTTGTTTTTTCCAACAGATTTTAGAATGTGAGCTGCAATCTTCTTCACAGTAGTCTTTTTGCAGGTACCTATCATGAGCAGCGAAGCATAAGATAATCAAATGTTTCAAGAAATGTCTCTTGTTGCTTTGGGACAAAAAAGAAAACCCAACTCTGTTAACTCCTTCAGCTGCTACTCCAAGAAGGGCCTATGGAAACATTCTTCCATTTAGCTACAACTACAGAAGGTATAAACCTTCTGATTTTGTTTATAAGATCAACGAGGATATGATTTGTGTCACCTAGCAGTATCAATTTGTTGGTCATTAGACAAGTATCTTACATTTTGTTGTTGTTGTTGTTGTTATTATTTTAGGCAATCGGGTTAAGTGACTTGCCCAGGGTCACACAGCTAGTAAGTGTTATGTGTCCGAGGCCGGATTTGAACTCAGGTCCTCCTGAATCCAGGGCCGGTGCTCTATCCACTGCGCCAGCTAGCTGCCCCAAGTATCTTACATTTTGAGAATGAATAATTAAGATTATTTTTATAAACTGCTTAAAAATTGTATCATTCTTAGTACCTTCTGCCATTCCCCCTCTCTTGTTTTCCTACTGTGCTAACAAAGTACAAGAATGCACATAGGACTGAGAGCCCTTTTATATTTCCTTATGTAATAGGTGGTCATGGTCAAAGAATTCATTACCTATTAGCTGGCCTACTGGTAAAGTGCTTCTCTACTCTTCATTAGAACGATCCTCAGAAAGTACACAGTCTGCTGCCAGGACCAGGCATGAAGTCTTTATAGCAAAGTAAATCAGGCCAGAGCTTATTAAGCCTTGCTGTCATATTCTTCCAGACCCAAGGATCACCCCCATACCACAATGACGAATCAGAGTAGGACTTTTTCCCAGGGCTTCACATACAACATATATTTTATTTGAAACCAAACTTTCCATATTAAAATTACCCTTAATTTAATACCCTTAACTGGCTTTAAAGGGTTTTGTTGTTGTTTTTAAATAGTAGAAACATATTAGTGAGATTCAATGCATTAAATTACAGTCAGTAAACTACAGCTTGCAGGCCACATCCGGGCCTGTGCCTATTTTTGTACTCCCTGCAACCTAAGAATGATTTTTATACAGTTTTCTGACTGCTGAACTAAAGCAAACTTGTTATAACAAAATTTTAAAATTCACTTTACCTTAAAAGAAGCCACTGACCTATCTCATTTATTTACATTCATACAAGAATAAAAAGAATTAGTGTCCTTCAGAAAAAAAGTTTCCCATTCCCATACTCTGTAATCAGAGTAGCAATTTTTCTGACAGCAAGAATCTGGAAATCAAGGAGTATGCATAGTAGTTGAGGAATGGTTGAACAAATTGTAGCATGTAAACATAATGGACTATGGTTTGCTACTAAGAAATGATGATTACTAGGAGCCCCAAGAAATATAGTAAGATTTATACGAACTGATGCAAAATGAAGTTGAACCAGGGGAACAATTTTTAGACAAAAACTAGAATAATAATTAACAAGAACACCGAAGGAAGTTGACTTCTGAGGTTGCTGGAATACCAATTTTGGTTCTGCAGAACAGATGATTAAACACATCTCCCTCCTACTGGATGCAAAGTAGGAGACTACAGGTGAGCAATGTTGCATACACTGTTACGACACAATCAAATGTTCACGGTTTTGCTTAACTGTTTTCCTTTGTTACAGGAGGGTTAAATTTGTGGGGGGAGGTGTGAATCCTCCCCATATTGAACTACAACATGAACCTTCTGTTCTGGTTCCACCTGCAAAGGACCGTTGTAAAAACCAAAGATATCAATACAATTTATTTTTCAAATAAAATGAGTGTCTTTTACTCAAAGGAAAGTTTTACAATATTTTTACCTTTAAAAGGCCTCTGTGGAAGAAAGTTAAGCCTTTGTACAGCATAGCTATAGGTTGATTTTTGTTCAGTTCTAAAGACTGCTGAAAGTCTTCATGGGCTGTTGCATAGTCCTGCAAGAAGGGAAAGGAAATCATTGTTACTAAACATAGGCATCTGGTTTTAGCACTCACTTCAGAGTTTATATTTCATTCACCAAGATGTTTATGATTTTCTTAAGAAATGTTGGAAAGGAAAAATCCCTCACAAAGGCTCGACTACTCTTTATCTCAATTATAAAACTGAGATTATTCAAAGTATCTTTCATGACTGGTTATTTCACTAGTCAATTCTTATCTTCCATTTTCCCCCAACATGAATTCTCTGTTTTGGCTCCATCAACAACTACCAGGAGGGCAAATCTTCTTGCTACAAACTCCAAGGAACTGTTCAAATTGTTACTACAATACTCATGGAGAAGCCAGTGTTGCATTATAAAACTTGGTCCAGACTCAGAATCACAGCTAAAAGTTAAATACTGATGCTGCTGATATGCATCCATAATACTATCTATAAGAGAAGTGAAAATACAACTTTTGCACCAAGTTTTCTTCTTCTGCTTCTTATTTTTCTTACCCTAATCCAACCAGTCAATAACTACAGGCCACCAAAGAAAGAAGTAAAATACAGGCCCTTAGCATTTTCCCACAGGATATTATTGTGAAAAAGAAGATGTTTTCAAAAATGCTTTCCATGCAAAGCTGCAAAACAGTCAGACCTACACCTGCCCCCTTCCCCCATATCATTATCATCAACAACAGTTTTCTGAGGCAAAGGGAAAGCGAAATCTTTCTTACCATAGTGGAAAATGTCCCAAAGCAAAAACAACTCACCTCTGATATGAAATGCAAGGTCCCCCTGTGTCGATAGAGTCGTGCTGATGGTTGCAGTTGGATAGCTTTAGTGAGATCACTTACTGCTTCACTGATTCGTCCCAGAGGGGACAGTATCTAAAACCAACATATTCCATTAAGCTAGAGAGAGATGTAGGTCACTTTAAAACTGATGAACACTTTTAATCTTTCAATACTAATTTCATCTTTCTGTTTTAAAAATCAATTTTACTTAGCATAGTTGAACTCTTTGTACTTTGTTCAAATAGCCAAAGAAAACAAAGTGGTGTATTTCTTTGTCCCATGAAGAACACTGGTGAATTGACCACACAGTAATTGCTTTCACAGTATTTCACATTCTGAAGCATAATAGATGCTACTTTTCTTCATATGTACACATATTTCTTCTCTTGTTATTTATCTTTCAAATTCTATAAAATTGGAACTTGATATACATTGTTTAAAATATAGCTAAGAGGATTCATCTGAGTGACATCTCTGAATCATAAAACTAAGTCACATTTCTGGACACATTTCATCACTTACCACAATCTTTAAATACACACTCCATGGTAGCAAGTTCTATATATAGCTAGGGTTGAATGACAGCTTGCAAATTTCCAGCCCTTCATTTGTGTCTAACTTGGTAGATGCTATTTTCACTGGTTAGCTTTCTAAAGAACCCTCATTCTTTTGGGATATACTTTCATATTTGACCATCACTTGGAGGTGAAGTTATGATCTTGAAAGTTAAAGAGAAAAGACATGCTGATGACCATATGGCATGCAGTAATGCTTCCATTATCCATAGGTCACTTATGCAGCAATAGCAACTCTCCAGAACATAGCTGGGAACCCATAGGTAAGCAAAAAAAAAAAAAGGCGCTGAGTGGATAAAATAGGTATTATGAAACCCAAGCACTTAACTCAGAGTAAGAGTTCTCAGCAACTATTTATTCTCAGAAATAATCCTAAAAATTATGGTGTAGAGGAAAGAGTGTTGAACCCAGAGCCAGGAGAACTAGGTCTGAGGTCTGCCTTAGACATTTACTAGATATATGAATATAAGACATAACTTCTCCAAACCCTACTTCAGGGAATGTGCTTTGTAAACTCTAAAGCACTAGACGAATGGGAGTTTTTATTATCAGGTTTCTCAGTCCACTGCAAATCTGAGATGGGTGAAATTGAGAGTCAGGAACAGTGATAGCAAGCAATAAGAAAACAGACAGAAATGCAGTTTAAAAAACAGACATTAAGAACTCAAAAATCACAGCATCTGAAGACCATTTGATATATGGATATACTGCCCTATGTACCTCAGCATCTCCTTAGGGAATCATTAATTATCAGCATAAAATGGATATTTAAAATGATAGGCCTGGGTCATCGAGCAAAGGTTAAATTAAGTTTAAACACATGCTGCTTAAGAAAGCAATTAAGAACTGTAATACAATTTGGAAAGATTGCCATCAGAATGATTAAATTTTTAAAAAAATACTAACCTATAGGATCACAGATTTAGACCTGGAAGTTTCCTTATAGGTCATCTAGTCCTGTCTCTATGTTACAGATGTGGAAACTGAGGCCCAGAAAGATTAAGTCATTTGCCCAAGGTCACACAGGTAGTCAGTGGCACAAATAAGATCTGAAACCACAGCTTCTTACTCCTTATTCAAAATTCTTTCCCACTACTACCTCTACTTGAAAGGGTAAGCATCATATCATCTGGAAAATTCATTGATAAATGCTTATTCCTCAACGATGTTAAATGAAGTACAACTATTTTTCCTTTTTATTAAAATACATTCAAAAGATGCTTTCTCTGATCACTAAAATCTGTTTTGTATGCAAACAAGTTTCAATTAGGAACACAATTAAAATTAAAAAAGTAGATAATATAAGTTTTTACCAAAACTTGCTGTACAATTAAGTCTCATTTTTGGAAATGCTCAATCTGCATTTTATCAGATTTTAGCAGAGTCAAAGGTATTCACGTCCTTTACATCACTTTACTAAGGGCAAAGGGATATATACATGCATATACTTTGTACCCAGGATACAAGAGCACCAAATCAATCACTGAGTATTATATATTAAGCACCCACTTGTACTTGGTACTTTTTTGAGACTACGTAAACAGGAAAATCAATACAATCTTTCTATTACCAATTCATAATAAGACAAATAAGCATGGGATTCAATTTTTGTTTCAGATTCTTATCCAAAACTAAAACTTGAACTGTAATCAGATAGTTTACTTAAAGGAAGATTTCATTTAATTGCCATCTGATTTTCTGAGGGTTGTTGGTACCTTTTTTGCTAAATCTTTATTTAAGAAAAGGTTTTTTTTAAAAAAAAGTTTAAAAAAGTATCAACACATATTGTTCCCTCTTGCTTTGTCCAAGCACTGCACAAAAAAATTTAAGTCAAATGGGAAAACTGCCAATACAATATTCTAAGATCTACCTAATTAAATGACTTGTTAGAAATCACACACAGAAATAAGTTGTGTTTTGGCCACAGTGCCTATAATAAGTACACTGTACATAGTGAGTACTTAAATATATTTGTTAAATGAAAGAATAAAAATCTCACATAAAATGTGTAGTAAAATAAATACAACATGAAACATTAATAAACTATCACATCTTCGCAAAAGTAAATATGTAATTTTATTACAGCTTTTGTGGTTTTTACTTTTAACTAGATTATGACATAGTTTATAAAATAATTACATTCCTAAAATCAACACTACCTTATGTTTTCCTTTAAAATTTTCACAATAACAACCAAAACATGATGTCATATACTCTCAAAATAACAGTGCAAAAGTTACTCTCTTGCTTACATTTATTGTGATCCTTATATATGAGTTCAGAAATATGAAAAATTTTCTTCTTAGAATAAGTACCTTTAGAAACATTAGCTACCAATAAAAGAACACGCAGTGCTAGGAAGGAAAATTTTTAAAAATCAAAGAAAGGAGAGAAAATCAGAGACCCTAAAATCTAATCAATGTACTAATGACTGGAGGGGTAAGGAGAACATCAAGGGAACTCACCTCAGCTCGCTGCTCAAATACTTCTGGACGATCTGGTTCCAAGGAAATTACTCGACTCAGTTCAAACAAAGCAAGTTCAGCATTCTTAATGTCCTTAAAAGCAATTACAGTTTTATACAGGATATATCATTGCTCAAAAACAATTCCAAATGATTTTCTGATAAAAACATTATTTAGTAATGCTACAAATGGTAGGATAGAAATCAATGTGTAATGACAGCTATACTCAATTTCCTTTACCAAAATACACTTTTTTAATTAACAGGTATTTAGATTCCTCAGTTTCCTACATATTAACTAATCACTACTTTCTGCCACATCAATACTATTTTGAATTAATGGGGCCTTAATCAAGTCCACTTTAATCTAACTCACTGCAATTACAAATACCCCAAAATTAATGAATGTAAGTATTTACTGGACTCAAGCATTTATCTAATATCCTAAAATGCTTTCCTCCAAACTTCTGTTTTAAAAAACAACAAAAACTCTGATGGAGACCTACTATTTCAATTTCTATGGTTATCATTAAAAATAAATTCTCTAAATGTGTCTTCATTGAATCAAGGTCACCAGCTTTGCTGTGGCAAGCGGAGAAAAACAGACTAAATGACAGTCACTTTCAAAAAACCATAAACACATAACTATAATTTACCTACTCCTTAAAAAGCATGTACATTTCAGAATCAATCTTGAGCCAGGCTATGCAGTTTTACTAAGCAGACAAGGGAGAGGCAGCTCATTTCTGCATTCCTAGAATACATCTATTTCAGATACTATCAATTCCTTACTCTCCGGGTAAAAGCATGCTCCTTCACAAACCTAATCTTATACTGAATATTTTCTTTGTATTGAGACAGGGCCAAGAAAAAGGAAATGTAAGCTTCCTTGAGGACAAGGACTATATTTCATCTTGTCCTTTTATATTCAGGATGTAGCACAGTACCGTATATTATTTGGCTGGTTTGTTTGCTTTTATCTGGATATGTGATTTCATTGGAATTCCAGCTGAATAAACTCTTAGCAGTCTACTTACTAGTATTTATTAAATACCTACTATGTACCAGGCACTGCGTTAAGAAACAAAGATATATATACATATACATGTGTGTGTGTGTATATATATATATATATATGTATGTATATATATACACATATATGTATATACATATATGTATATATGTATGTGTATATGTATATATGTATATGTGTATATATATGTGTGTGTGTACACGCACACACACACACACACACACATAAAGCAATAGACAGTCCAGCTCACAAGGAGCTTGTGGTCTAATGGAGAAGGCTACCAGCAATTATGTCCAAAAAATGCAAATCAGCAACTGTTCAGCAATTTATAGTCTTAGAGAGTTGCCTGGAGCACTGAGAGATTAAGTGATTTGTCTAGGGTCATATAGTCAGCTTTCGCGGGAGGCAGGATTTCAGCCCAAGATTTCTTGATTTTTGGCTGGCCAGCAATCTCTTATCTTGCACACAAGAGGTGCTTAATAAAAGCCTGTTGGACAGTTTTGGATTTTTACAAACACTTAGCAGTTTCTAAGTAGCAAAAGCTTTTAAAAGTTAGATTCCCTTCCCCAAAACGTATACCTTAAAGTTTCAGCAATTTACAGTATAGTATTTATGGCACAAGCAAGTTTTTATGCATCAAGTTTTAGACTAAGTGCTTCAAAACGTGCCTCCTGGATAAGCCCAGCTCTGCACCTTGCCTCCATAGTCACCATTTATGACTGTTTCATATCACTCTCTTCCTAGCCTCTCAGAGGGACTGAGGGAGGCAATAAAATAATACCTGAATATCAGTTTGAGCTCTGAAGAGTACTAAAAACATCCAAGATAATATACATGGAATATAAGAACATATTTTCCACCCCACAGTTCAAGGAAGCCTAAGGAAACCTCAGGAGAATTAAAAGCAGTTCCTCACTGAAGTTAATGGTGACTACTCCCCAACATGTTTTCAATCCTCTTGAGTTCCCAATACAATCGTGGATTTGGAACTCAAAGGAACTTTAGGTGTCATTGACTCCAACTCCCATCATTTTACAGATGGAGAAACTGAGGCCTAGAGAAGTAAATTCTAGTAGACTGGAAGCTCCTTAAAGGGAAATTTTTTCAACCTGTTTTTCGTATCCCTGGCATCGAACAGGGTCTCACATGCACACAACCAGGTCCTCTGACTCAACTCACAGTTCTTCCATCTCTATCAGTGGCGTCAAACTCAAACAGAAGTAGGGGCCACCAATTCCTACATAAGGATCCTTGTGGCTGCATACTGACTTTATTTTAAAATATAATGTTATTTATGTTTCATTGTATTTTCATTAATTTTGTTAAATCTTTTCCAATTACATTGTAATCTTGTTTGTCTGCCCTAGAGAGTGTCGTGGGCTGCAGGGGTCTACATCTTGGTGACTCTCCATTGCCCCCTGAGATGTACCAGCAGTGTAGGAACTATTTAACCCTTCTTTGCCCAAACCTTATTTCAGCAGGAACTGTAGGGCTAGATCCAGGCTGATTTAATATGGCATAATTTCATCCACCTCAGTTATCTGACTAAATCCAGCATGTAAAATATAATTTAGCCTTTCTTTAATGATTTAAGGATAAAAAATGACAATCAATTATTTTTCTGTGTTTTAATATAGGATGCCCTCAAAGACTGTTCATGTATAAGGCTGTTTACCCTTACATCAGTTGGCTCTGGACCACTATTTTAAATTTCTGTTTTTCATAGCTTTTTTGTTTTCTCTCTTGTACCATATATTTTAGAAAGGTTTCATGAAAAAATTATTCAAATAAATTATAGCATTTAGAAGGCTATGCTTCAAATATCTGAGGAAAATCCAATTATATTCCTTGTTGATGCAAACCAACAAAGTATTCCCACTGAAGCCACCATTATCAAATACTCACCTGTAGTCCCTTCTTTCCATAGGCTATCCCTCGACCATAAATTGCACTAACGAGCTCTGGCTCCTCCTAGACAGGAGAGCAAAAATGTAGCATGGTGTTAACAAATAAAAGAAATACTAGTCACTAATTAGGGCAGGTATAATATGCCTCAGGTAAATGTTTTTCTTTTTTTTTCTTTTTTTAAAAAATTTTATTAATTTATTTTGATTTAACAATAATCACTTCCATATGCTTTTGAGTTTAAATTTTTTCTCCCCCTTCCTCCCCACCACCCTCCCCAAGACAGCACACAATCTCATATAGGCTATACATTTACATTCCTATTAAACATATTTTCACATTAGTGGTGTTGTAAGCAAAAATTAAAACCAATAGGAGGAACCATCAGAAAGAGGAAACAAAACTCATCAGAAAAGAAAAAAAATAGCAATTCAACTTTCATAGTTCTTTCTTTGGATGTGGATAGCATTTTCATCACAAGGCTTCTGGAGATGTCTTAGATTATTGTATTGCTGGGAAGGGTAAAGTTTATCAATATTAGTCATCGCACAACATGGCTGTTATTGTGTACAGCGTTCTCTTGGTTCTGCTCATTTCACTCAGCATAAGACCATACAAGTCTTTCCAGGTTTTTCTGAAGTCAGCCTGTTCATCATTTCTTATAGCACAATAGTATTCCATTACATTCATATACCACAACTTGGTCAGCCATTCCCCAATTGATGGGCATCCTCTCAATTTCCAATTCTTTGCCACCACAAAAAGAGCTGCTATGAATATTTTTGTACATGTGGGTCCTTTTCCCATTTGTATGATCTCTTTGGGACATAGCCCTAGAAGCGCTATTGCTGGGTCAAAGGGTATGCACATTTTTACAGCACTTTGGGCATAGTTCCAAATTGTTCTCCAAAATGGTTGAATCATTTCACAACTCCACCAACAATGCATTAGTGTTCCAATTTTCCCACATCTTCTCCAACATTTATCATTTTCCTGTTTTGTCATGTTGGCCAATCTGACAGGTGTGATGTAGTACCTCAGAGTTCTTTTGATTTGCATTTCTCTAATCAATAACGATTTAGAGCATTTTTTTTCATATGACTATAGGTAGCTTTAGATTCTTCCTCTGAAAACTGCTTGTTCATACCCTTTGACCATTTATCAATTGGGGAATGACTTGTATTCTTATAAATTTGACTTAATTATATATTTTAGAAATGAGGCCCTTATCAGAGACTGGTTGTAAAAGTTATTTCCCAATTTTCTACCTTCCTTCTAGGCATTGATTTTGTTTGAGCAAAAACTTTACAATTTAATGTAATCAAAATTATCCATTTTGCTTTTCATAATGTTCTCTATCTCTTGTTTGGTCATAAATTCTTCTGTTTTCCATAGATCTGATAGGTAAACTATTCCTTGCTCTCCCAGTTTGCTTATAGTATCAGCCTTTGTATCTAAATCATGAACCCATTTTGACTTTATTTTGGTATATGGGGTAAGATTTTGGTCTATGCCTAGTTTCTGCCATACTCTTTTCCAGTTTTCCCAGAAGCTTTTTTTCCAAAGAGTGGGTTCTTATCCCAGAAGCTGGGGTCTTTGGGTTTATCAAATAATAGATTACTATAGTTAGTTACTGACTACTGTGTCTTGCATATTTAACCTATTCCACTGATCCACCACACTATTTCTTAGCCAGTACCAAGCAGTTTTGATGATTGCTGCTTTATAATACAATTTAATGTTTTTCTTCAATAGGCTAATACCACCTGAGTTAGTTCAAGTAGGAGATTCCAAACAGTTTCTGTTTGAGGAGTATTAGGGAGAAGGGAATCAGAGGAGTCAGTGTCTGTTCACGTAGGGCCCAGCAGGCAAGGGCTGCAAGGACTTCTGTGAAGCCATCTGGGAATGATGGTGGCAGGGCCTCTGGTAATAATGGCTCCCAGGGAGCAGCTGCAGAAGTAGATCCTTTGATAAACAGTTGGATGGGGGTGAAAAGCAAATGCATAAGGACCAATTCTGACAACGAGGAGGTAAAACAGTTTGGAGGCACAAGGTTGGCTAATGTTGATACTGATCCTTTGTTTTAGAAGAGGACCAATGACATCACAGGGTGATGTCTTAATTTGCATATGAATTGGATTTAAGGGAGGCAGAGCTACACAGTCATCAGCCTCACTCTCCCCTCCTTAGACATCCAAGTCTAGTGGCAAGACAAAAGTCAAGACAACTAGTGGATGGCTCAGGATGCAGTGGATGACCTTGGCATCTTTGATGTCCTAACAAGCTATAAATACTCCACACCTGCTTCAGCCACCTTCATGGCCATTGGAACAGTGTTCTCAAACTCTCATCCCACTGGGAGGAAGCCTTCACATGTTTGGGTATACATTCTCCTAACTCAACAATGGGTTTGAGGCCTGTCAATTACCCTTAACCCAGTTTAGCCTATCTGCTGAGATGGTTTTACCACGGTGTGGCCACTGCACATACTACAGATTCTTGGAGCCACAAGAGAGAGAGCTGGGTGGCAGGTGGACACCAAAGGTGGATGAGCGGCCCTGAAAAGGGATTGGGAAGCCCTCATAGCAGAGGTGCTAGTCCTCCTGAACACCCCATAATACTCCAGTGAATTCTTACGGACTTTGTTGAGGGAATCAGATCAGCATTGATGGCAGGAATCCCAATAAAGTCACAGAATTCTTGAAGCAATTTGCATTTTGAGGGGCAAATGCCAGCTAGCTGGAAAAGTCCCACCCACTGGGTTCATTCCCTGTTACTACCTCTGCAAAATAAATGAAGTGTCACTATAGAACACTCACACAAACTCAAAATTCTAATCACTTTCCTATTAACTTCTAAGTATCACACTTTTCTTGGTTCCCAGATAGGACATTCACCAACTCAGGGATTACTTTACAAAACTTTATATTGAAGTTAGGATAGTTTTCTAGGCTCCACCACAGCCTGAACAAAACAGCCAACAAAACTATACCACTTGTTTGGTTCTTATTCCATGCTTACCAATAAATCACTTTTCATGACTAATTAAGTTTCCTAGGTATCTTGAAACTCGGAAAGGATGCCCTTAATAGTGAAATAAGAATGTACCCAGTTGACAAAAATGCAGACAATCCACTGCAAATTAACAAAATTGCATTTTTGTTTATATTTTGGTTTCCTGTGAACTTGGCTAGCATCAATCAGTCCTCTTGAGACTAATTATCCCTCAGTGACCTAATGAAATTGAATTTCACTCAGTTTGGATGTCCAAGGCTCAGGACAAAGATGACACCACAAAAGGACATAAGGCTTTTCTTGAGCCCCTGCCAGCCTCTTTCTAACCAACTTGATTATAACACAGCTCATGACTAGAACACTGTGTCTTATTTCTAGTCAGCATTTTCCACTTAACGAAAACAAAGATTTCTGTGAAGAAATGCTAATAAAAAAAATATTATAAATCACTTTGCAAATGTAGAGTTAAATTTGAAGAACACTACAGTAATAGGTTCAGTGAACAAGGCAGAGACAATATTTTTATGGACCTCTGGAACTTCACTGCAAGGAAGATGCTAAATGAAAAGCATCTTCCACTCACTGAATGTCAGTTTCCACAGTGTATGTATTTAAATACAGTGTATATATTTTCCTTCTGTGAATCAGTTATAGGTTTTTAATTGTCTGTTATTTGTACCATCACCTGATTCATTCCAAGAGTATTCAGCATAATGGAGTGACAATAAAGAAAGCAGTCTAAACTTACAACCTAGAACACATTTCCAAAGGAAAACTGTATGCAGAAATATATCTCATTACAAATTGGTTATAATCCCAGTCAGTGCCATATTTTATCAAGTTTGTTCTACTAGTAAATAAGGTACATTACATCTGCAAGGTTATAAGTGGTTTTTCTGCTTGTCAAATCACAACAGATTGTTCTCCTTAAACACATGTACTGGGAAGATTGCCAAGAGAAAGAGTTCTTGAATAATGAGTAAATTAGACAGTTATTGATTTCTATAATTGCTCGTTTCAAATAGTTGTCAGGAATAAACTAGTGTTTGCTCTTGTAATTGTCCCACGTAAGCGAGCCCTTCCTCGCTCAATGCAGGTAAATTCCCTTGATGTGACAGGCTTCAATTTTATAATGTTTCAGTGGCAAGCAACCTAGTACATTTAAAAAACCATTCATAAATTAATCCAACTCTGCACCGAAGCCCAATGAATGAACGATAATGATGCATAACAACTTTGTTCTAAGATCCTCAAATGAAATGAACCAAAGCAGGAGGATGATGGTAATGCTATAATTAACTAAAAAAAATTAAAATTGGTGCTTTTAAAACTAATACTCCAAACTGGAGTATAAATATATGTCACATCAATTACTTTTTGTTTAATAAACCCTTAAGTTGGTTATACCTTTGATGCTCATGCACAACAATCACAGGTACGGAAACAAAATCTTTGAGCACTGTTTGAGGAAGATATTGAAGAATGCTTAAGAGAGAGTATTAATCAACAAAATGTTAGTGAGTAGCTATAGCGAACATAAACAATTGGTAAAAAGAAAAAAACAAAGAACCTGAATTATAAATTATTTTCTATATCCTTATATTTATGTAAATAATCTCTCTTAACGTATGCTTTAATTCACTTGGTAACCTAAATACTGGTCCACGTATTTCCACCAGAGGAAATCATGCCATTACATAGAAACAAAGCCATAAATGGATCTTAAACTAATCAATTTCTGTGTACCAAGTCAAGACACATCATTTAATCTTAATTCAATAATTCTCTGCCTGTAAACTAGATATTATTATTACAAATGATTGTTTGGGTTTGGCAAACATAGCTTCTATCGACTAAGTAATATGTTTTACACATAAATATACTATTTTTCAAATGTATGTAGATGCTATTGTGATTAATAAAACACAAATTAATTTCACAGTGAAAAAAGAGAAGAAAAGCAGTAAGATCAACGATTACTCCAACCACCTAAATCTGAAAGAGCCTTGAACATCACTCCATAGAAAACATTTTGCCCTACATGGAAAAGATCTTTAACCTGGTTAAGATCATCAATTTTAAAATTATATTACATAGGAGATGAAAAATTACCTGGAGCATGGATGAAAAATGTCTTATTGCTTCATCATACAGACCACTGCCAATCAACACATAAGCAATAGCTACAAAACAAAACAAAATGGAAATATATTAAGACATAAAATTAAAGTATAAGATAATTAAGGGCAGCTATGTGGTGTAGTGCCAGGCCTGAAGTCAGGAAGACTCATCTTTGAGTTCAAATCTAGCCTCAGACACTTACTAGCTGTGTGCCCCTGGACAAGTCACTTAACTCTGTTTGCCTCAGTTTCCTCATCTATAAAATGAGCTGGAGAAGGAAATGTCAAACCACCCCTATATTTTTGGCAGGAAAACCCAAATGGGGTCACGAAGATTCAGACGTGACTGAAAAAGACTGAACAACAACAACAAAATAATTACACAGAGTAAAAAGTGAGTTGTGTCCTTCTGTGCCAGTCTATCAATACAGAAGTTGGAGAAGTAGCCCTCTGTGGGTACTAGAGTCAAATGCAGCTTTTCAGAATGAATTGGATATTTTCAGGACATATACTTTAGATTACATCTAAACTAGAAGTGTCAAGCATGCAGCCTACTGGGCAGGAAAACCTGATTAAAATGTAACAGGAAAATGTTTAACAGGATAAATATAATACCATGATAAAAACAATATTAATAATAACTAATAAATAGCTAGCATTTATAGAGTGCTTACTATGTGCCAGGCACTAGGCTAAGCATTTTATAAATATTATCTCATTTGACCCTCACAATAATCTTGAGAGGTAGATGCTATTAATATCCCCATTATTAATTTTTAAAATAAGAATTCCCATTATTTAATTTTTCTAACCAATTCTAAAAGGAATCTTACTGATATTAGAGTCCTCTTCATTTCAGTTAAAGAAACTGAGGCAAACAGAGTTAAATAACTTGTCTAGGGTCACAAAGCTAATAAGTGTCTGAGGCTGGATTTGAACTCAGGTCTTCCAGACTCCAAGTTCACTGCTCAATCCACTGGGCTTCAAAGTGTGGTAAGAAACCAAAAAAGTTAAGTTACATCCAGTCTAGTTTTAGTGTTGGGATTCCACAGTACGGTTTTCTGAAAAGTCATAATATAAGCATTTCTGGCAAGGTAATGAAATCAGAGGTGGCAAAGAGAGACCGGTTACTCAATGCTCCCCCTGAAGAAATAAAAATGTCTTTAAATAAACAGATTAATAAATAAAAAAGGAGGAAAAAGGATATTAACTGAAGAGTCTCAAAAGAAAAAAGCCTCTTGGATAAAGAAAAGGAAAAGATGAAGAAATGAGCAATCAGCAGCAAAAAGTTTCCCAGATGATGAGCAAATATAGCAGATTAAAAGATCCTGAAGAGAAATCACTAGAAGGAAAAAAAAAATAAAACATCTTAACTTCAACATTGGACTAGAAAAGGGAGATGGTCCTGATGCGACGACATATCTAACTAAATAATAAACATACTAAAGGAAATGAAGGGGACTCTAATATCAGTAAGATTCGTTTCAGGATTCGTTAAAAAAATTAATAGCAAAAGTAAAAAAATTCAGAAAATGTGATTAAAATATTTGAAGGAATGGAATAAATAGTTTAGTTAGAACAAGCAGGAGATACGGGAAAACAATTTTTAAAAAGAGTCTACTTGGGAAAAGAGTTGGAAACTTTATAAGGAAAGATGACAGAACTGGAAGACATATCAAAAAGATAATATAAGAATGATGAAATCATTCAAAAATGCAAAGAAAATGAAAATTCACAAATTTTCAGGAAATTGCTAAAAAAAATTCCTCAGAATCATTAAGATCAAGTAACAGATACCAGGATTTTTCTTTTTAAGCAGTTGGGAGGGAAAAAAAATCACATTTCTATTTAATTCACCTAGTATTTATTAATTAACTGCCTCCTGGGTGCTAGTAACTACGCTAGGCACAAAGGATATGAAATCAAATGAGGTGTTTATATCCTACCGAGAGGAAACAATACATATAGTTATCCTCAACATGGGTTTCAGATTCCCAGTTTTGGTTATTTGAGACTTGGCATCAATAATTACATGGGAATTTTTGGAGATTTGCAATACATTGTGGAAAATAATGGACAATACGTGAATATAAAAAAACCCAAAAATTTTAATGTCATGAGTGCATAAATAACATATATTACTAATCTATTTTATCATGTATTACCTTAAGTATACACACATAAATTTATTCTGAACAATTAAATTTTGTTAAAAGTTCTAGTGTCTACACACTGTCTTTGGGAACCCCTCCTCTGTCTCTCATCCTGACTCAGGCATGTCATTGGTTGTGGCTTATGCTTTTCTTAGGAGAAGGAAATTCGTGAAGCAGTTGCTGCAGCTATATCAGCTACGGATTCAAAGACTGCATAGCATGCGAAGTACTAATCTCTCTCACGTACAACGTGCAATTTTTTTTATGGTGCAGTGTGTCGTTTTACTTCTTTCGTGTGTTAAATAAATATGATCAGAATTATTAAAAATGATACTTTGTGGTTTTTTACATTTGCAGGGGTCCTGCTCCCCTCCCCCCCATGTCAAGGGACAACTGTGCACAAATACACATATACAAACTAAGTGCAAAATAATGGAAGAAGGATTAACATCTAGGAGGATCCAAAAAGATTTGTTGAAGGTGGCATTTGAGCCGAGCCTCTGAAAGGTTCTACGGGTTCCAAGAGGAGACTAGAGGGAAAGAGGAAAAGATCAGAAACCAGGGGCACCACTCATGCAAAGGCATGAAGGCAGCAGATGGAATGTCACATATGGAGACAAAGTAGGCGAGTTCATCTGAAACGGAGCACGGGTGAGGAATGGAATTGGAAATCACTTATGCACTTACTAGGTGCTAAATGCTGGGGATACAAAGAGAAAACCAAGACAATCTCTACTCTTAAGGAGCTCATATTCTAGGTGAGAGCAGCAACACAAAACAGAGGGTTCAGGTTTGTGTTCAATGACTGGCAGATGGACCAGACAGACAGTACTTGGGAAAGGAGTAGAGCAGGTGGCAAGGTTTAAGGATCTTAGCTGTAAATCTCAAGGCATATGGTTAGTCTCCTATCAAAAATATGGTGGATTCAAAGAGTAGAGTGGAGGTCTAGTGGTAACTGTGAGAAAGGTAGGGACTTAAGATCAATCTGGAAAAACAGCCTCGAAAAAAGATTGTGAAGACTTTTAAATGTCAAAAGAAGCTAGAGGCAAAAAGGAATCACTGAAACTTGAGAAGGAGAGTGACTCAAACATGTGCCTCAAAAATAGTAACACGGCAATTTGCAGGAAGACCAGTTAGTAGGCTTTTTAATAGTGTAAGATCAGAGGTGACAAGAGCCTCATTCAAGGTGGTTTTAGCACATGTGAATGGGGAAAAAGGGGTGGACAAGACACGCTATGAAGGTAAAAGGGCATAAGATTAAACAGTCGAGGATGACAAAAATCTTCAACCCAGCTCCACTAGGAACAATATAGAAAGCTGTATAGAGATGGGAGCCCCTCCTCCAAGGCTCACTCTCCCAACTTCCTTAAACAGAAGAGAAGGCACTAGTAGAGAAGGAAAGACTGAAAATACCCATCATCATGACGATCAATTTTCTTAGAATCATGACACTAAGAATATATAACCTTACAGATTACACACAGGATTCAGCCCCTTCCTTTTACAATAAAGAAACTGCGGCTCAGAGAGGCCAACTGATCTGTGAGGCTGACACGGCTAGATTAGAATCCAAATCCCAGGCCTGTATTTGCAATATACAACACCGCCATATTGTTTTGAATCTGCTTATAAGAGCAGTGTAGATGAAGCACTGATACTTCTAGAATATCTTACCTAATTCTTCATTTGTGTTGTCATTATCAGTAGCAAAAGGTAATCGCTTTTGTTCTGCAAGGGACTTTGCCTGGTTCTGTAAAACATCAAATAATCACTTTCAGTAATTGCAGGGATGCAGGAAAGGTCCATTTTAAAAAGATACATTTAACATAAAACTAGAAAAATCTAACAGAAAAACCATTAAAGGTAATTACAAAATTGTAGTAAATACCATAATGCGTTTGTCTGTGAAGGGGACAATGATGAGATTGGAAGTAAATCAGTTCTATACATTTTTTTTAATTGGAAATAGTACTGGCTGGCTGCACAAAAGTTGTTGCTGTGATTTTAAAGGTTTCTGGCAGCAATAATGCAATTATTCTGTAAAGATGATACATCATGGAATTACTCCTTAAGCATGACTAATAATGGAATATGCATTATAAATGTGAACTTTGGTACTTCAGAAAAAATAGTTATGGCGTATATTGGTACAGAGCTGCAGAAAAAAGATAAACAAATCCTGACCAAGAGTCCAAGCATCTTGTCATTATATAATAAAAAGAAATACACAAATGGGGATTATTTGTATAATCATTCCCACTTAGATCTGTGGAAACCTCTTGCAATCTGACTCTTGCCCCACCACTCAACTGAAATTGTTCTCAAAGGTCACGAATCACCTAATTATTGATTAATTACCTTTTCTCAGTCCTTCTTCACCTTGACCTCTCTACAGAACAATAGAGGGCTACCCATTCCTTCTTGATACCATCTTCCTTAGCTTGGTGACATAATCTTAAGGTTCTTTTACCTTCCTGAATTTCTTCTGTTCTCTTCTCTAGCTTTTCTTCCTCTTCCACTCTCTAAATATAGCTGTTTTGTCTAAAGCTCCTCTGGTTTCAGTTATTACCTCTATGCAAACAATTCCTACATCTCTATCTTTAGTTCTGACTCCCCTCACAACTCCCCACCAACCGTTTGTTGGACATTTCTACCTGAATATCCCACACCAAAGCCTGAAACTCAAAATGTTCAAAACAAAATTTGTCTTTGCCCTACCCCTCATCCTAACTTCTCCATTTCTGTTAAGTATACTGACAATCTCCCAGTGTTTTAAACTCATAACTTTTCAGTAGTCTTTTTAACTGTTCTTTCCCTCACCTGTCACATATAACCAGTTGTCAAATTCTGTCAATTCTACCTCCACAAAATCTCTTGGATCCACCCCTTCCTTTCTATTCTCATCACCTTCCAGGGTTCCTAACAAGGAGTTGGTTGTGTGGGTAAATTTCAGGAGATCAGTGAACTTGGATGGAAAAAAAAATGACATCTTTATTTCACTAATCTTTGATTTACTTTGTAACCTTGAGTATTTTATTTTATGCATTTAAAAATCATTATTCTGAGAAAGGGTCCATAGGCTTCAGCAGACTACCATAGGGGTCTATATCAGAGAAAAAGTTAAGAACCCCTATCCTAGACTTTTGTTACCTCTCAACTGGACTATAATAAGAGTCTTTTAATTGTCTCTCATACTGCAGTCCTTCTCTGCTCCAATTCAGGCTCTGTACTGCCAGGCAATTTTTCTAATGTGCAGCTTTGATCATGCTATTCCTCTGCTTAAAAATGAGTGACATATTCTCCCCATATTGCAAATCTCAAAAATCCCAAACTCTTTAGACTAACATTAGAAGCCTCCCCACCAGATTTCAACATACCACTTTCTAGCGTTATTTCATATTTCATTTATTCTATGTTCCTGCACTGAGCTTTAATGACAAACCCAATAAATCACTGGATCCCAAACTCATCCTACACTTTTTCCTCTGTGCCTTTTCTTGCTCACCCTGTCACCACCATGCCTCTCACTCCAACTAATCTCTATTTAACCATGTTTAACCATGAAGCTTTCTCCAATCACCCCAAAGGAAAGCAAAAAAATTTTTTCCCTCTTTGATCTCTAACAGCACTTTGAGACACCTATGGATTTATATTCAAATTTGAATTGTATTTTGTCTTATTTACTCCACCCATTTATTGAACTGTAAACTCCAAAAAAGCTTTAACTTAGTTATCTTTGTCTTCATCTAGTAACATAATAGCTCTTTCAGTTTAATTTACATTTATGAGGCAACATAAAAAGTTATTCAGAAGAAAAAAAAACAGAACAAAAGAAAGGCAATTATCTATAGCTAAGATAGTTTCACCTGTAATAATAGAACATTTTATACAGCTATGGCTCTATTATGTTTTGACAGTTCAAAAAGGCATCACTTTTTTTTCTTCTGTTTTTTTGGTTTTATTTTTTCCACTTAATAATATTTTATTTTTTCCAATTACATGTAAAGATAGTTTTCAACATTCACTTTTATAAGATTTTGAGTTCCAATTTTTTTTCTCCCTTCCTTCCTCCCCTTCCCCCTCACCAAGATGGCAAGCAATCTGATATAGGCTATACATGTACCATCATATTAAACATTTCCACATTAGTCATGTTGTGAAAGAAGAATCAGAACAAAAGGGAAAAACCACAAGAAAGAGAAAATAGTATGCTTAGATCTGTATTCAGACTCCATAGTTCTTTCTCTGGATGTGGATAGCATTTTCTACATGAATAAAAGGGCATCACTTTCATATACTTTCCAGACCACCTGGAGATTTTTATCCCAATAAGCAACTGTAATATGCTTGACCAATTGGATCCATAACAAAATTATGAGTTTATACCAGATTCATCTGAGGCATATAACATTGCAATATATAATATGGGTGAGGAAAACTAAGGCATGTGAGGGGGTAAGAAGTTCTGTCCCAGCTATGAAGAGGATTTAGTGACACCCCAGAGTTTTAAGAATGAGATTTAGCAATTTTCTTAATTATTTTTAGTCCATACCACTGCTAGCATTTCTCTTGTATGATATCAATTTAATAAAATTTTAAATGCCTACTTTATGTAAGATACTATGCTAGACAACTATATATATTTTATATATATAGTTATGAGTAAGTCATAAGGCTAGGCAGATCACTAAAGTGATCTCTACAATTTCTCTGACATTGTTTACAGGCAATTCTTTTGGCTACCAAAATTTAACTGTTTAGTGCATCTGAGTCATTTATTACTCTAACTCATGATCATGGAAACCAAGTTGCCTTTATCCAAATTGTTACTATTAAGAATACGAATTTCTAATTAGTGCTTTATGATCATTTTAAGAGGCATTTTTCATGTTCTTCCTGTGAGAAAGTCAAGATGATTTGACAAAGTCACATATCAAGTTCATCAGAAAGCTAGTCTTAGAATTTATAGACTTTGGTAATGATAATGATGATGATGACAGCCAGCATTTATAAAGCACTTTGTAAGGTAGGTGCTATTATTACCCCTATTTACAGATAAGAAACCTGAAGCAAACAGAGTGACTTGTCCATGGTGATACACAAGTGTCTGAGGCTGCATTTGAACTCAGATCTTCCTAACTCCAGGCCCAGAACTCTATCCACTGGGCCACCCATCTTAAACATTTGTAACACTCTTCTAATAGTTCTTTGTGCTTTTAAGATAATGGCTGATGTACATCAGCCAGGAGAGATCCTGGGAATCATTAAGTTCTACTGAATTAAATTACTGGGAGAAAAGATGATTTACATTAGCAATCTTACCACAGGTGCCCCAAATCCTTGTTAATGTTCAGATTATAGAGTGACAGTCTAACAGGTAAAGAAAAAAGTGGCTGGTTAAAATACAAGTCACTGCTTAGAATCAGTCTGATGCAACCTACAAGGATACCTTGTCAGAAAAACTTCAGTGATTCACTATTACTACTCTGAGAAGCCCAGGCAAAAGCCACCTTTGGAAATACAGCTGTAACTCATGGTCCAAGGTCTCCCTAGAACTCTAGGATCACATGACCCAGTCCAATCTTGGGGAATATTCCATGAAGGTTAGTTTCTCATTTTGGCACACTGCCCTCATTTCCAGATTCCACCCATAAAAGGTTATCTCTAGCTCCCAAACACTCATAGAAACACATGTAAATTGTGTATATCTCAGCCTTTATTTTACCCAAAATGCAGACAACACAAAGGACTCCCAGGAATACATAAACAGGTTTAGAAACACACAAAACACTTGAATAGTCCATCAGTTCTCCCTAACTTTGAAAGGAATTGAATTGCTTTTAGAGTAACCCCTTGACATTCCAGGAAATCCCTCTTTCCCAGAGTGCTATATAGTCCCCACAAGGCTCACAGCACTATCCTGTGGGTTTAGACTCCTACCAGGTAAATATACTTTGGGAATAGCTAAACAAGCAACCTACTTCACATCAGACCTTTGAGGTTTAATTTACATTCTGGACTAGCTTTCCAAGTGGGACATAGCTTAGGAACTATGGAGCTAATCTCTTCTGTCTTCAAGTCCAGGAAATCTCATTCTTCCTCTAGAAAATTCAATCCTTGAGCCTTTAAACTTGCAATCTCTCAAACCTGGGAACACCTGAACTTAGGTCAAATGAGGGCTCAATTGTCTGCCTCTGCTATATACTTCTCTATATACTCCTCAGTGCCCTGGCTGCTACCAACTTTGGGATTCATAAGTTCCAATCACAATAACACTAGTCTCTGAGATATACTCAAAGAAGCTTTAGGTGAATACATGTAATTCTCATGTCTGCTACCTCAAGATGGGAAGAGGGAGAAGGGTGGTATAGAGAAATCCAGTTCTTAATCCTTTGTTGCACTCCACAAGTTCAAGGAAAAAGATAGATATGGGAAAAGTACTGAAGAAATATTAACCTGGTCTGTCAGCTTTTTTTTTTTCTGGACTCCTTACCTTCTACATGGTTCTCAAATAGTGTCCTACTGGGACAACAAATTCAGTAAGTTATTCAGGCCAGGTAGAGCCAATGGAAAAAGGACTGCCCAACCATGAGCTACACCAAAGATATATTTTGAGAAATTTCCTTGAACAACAACAGGTGGGGGCAATGAGCCAAAGAAAGAAACAGATCCTTATGAATTAGCTCCCAGGGTAAGATCTAAACCATGTCAGTCCAGACTCTTGGGGGATAGGTGAACCTTGGCATTACT